AAAAAAAAAAAAAAAAAAAGAAGGAAAAGGTTTTGAACAAAATATGTCTAACTCCAGGGAAGAATCTTGTTAATTACAGAGAAGCCCCAAGGTGTCACTGTTTCTGTCTCTGTTTTTAAAAACTGCCCCAGAGGGCATGTGTGTCCACCAGAGAGAGAGGGAGAGAGAGAAAGCAGCCTTCGAGGGGCTGTGGTCACACCATAATCCCTTCTCGTCCAATTCTCCATCTTGATGGGATTTGGGACATACACATACATGCACCCAGAGTGTTCCTCAACCTCCAAGGCCAGGGCTTGAACTGCACAGCTGGTCATGTGAGATCCGGCTCCCTCAACCACCAGTCCACAGGGCCAGCCCTCTTTTTTTTCTTTTAAAAGACAGAGTCTCACAATATTACAGTCCTCCTGTGTCAGCCTCCCAGCTGGACTACAGGCATGTACCACCGCGCCCAGCTCTCTTTCAGCCAGGGTCTTACTATGTTGCCTAAGCAGCCTGAAGCTCAAGATCGTCCTGCCTCAGCGTTCCTGAGTTCCTGGGATTTCAGGTGCACACCACTGTGCCTGCCCTTTAGGTTGAACAAGGAACCAAGTCCAGACCTCTCATGTGGTCCCAACCCGTGGAACACAGTAATTCAGCAGTTCACACCACTGCAGCTGAGTACTCCCTGCTTCCCCCATCTCAGAGATCCCTTTGAACCTCACAGGTTCAAGCGAGGCCTCTTGTGCTTGGCAGGGAACATTCTCCATGTTTCTCACATTTTGAGTTTTCTAAACCAACTAAGATTCTGCTTGAGTTGCATGTTGGACCAACCATATCCCTTAATTTTTCAGTGGGTATGATAGGCCTTCCCTTTACTGTAATAAACAGAGGAAAACATGCCAAGAGTCTGTAGGACTTGTTTTGGAGGGTTATACATGGAAGAAGTAACAGGTCACATCTTTGGGTTACAGATACCAAAACAGCTGGATACTCCTTCAATAATAACATTATCTCTTATCTGGAGTGGTTTTACCACCCCAAAGAACCACTTTCAGAAAACCATGTGGAACGGTTGAGCTGTCCTTTCCCAATAAAATGCAGACAGTGACAGCTAACTGACCCTTTGACAGACCTCAGGAAAGCCTGGTCTTGCACAGATGGCATCCAAAGTGAATTTGAAAGGGAACAGAGGGAAGATTTCAATAATCTCCAGAGGACTCACTCAGAATAAGAGGGACAAGATGGTAAATGAGGGTCTTGGATCCTGAAGAAACAGTGGAGAACTGGAGAGTGTCAACGATAATGTTGACCTTTCACTTTAAAGATGGTATCTACACATTACTCTCTATCGTGGAGCCTGTGCATTTTTTCATCCTTGCCAGTAAAGGAATAGATAAAGCATACTTTTCAAAGCAAATGTATTGCACAATACTACATTCTCATGCCAGACTTTGTGGCCCATAAAATAAATTATCTCACGCAGCTAAGGAAATAAAGTCAAGAGTACACAAAATGACAAAGATGGTAAAGGAAAGAGAAACTGTAAGGAAAGTAGGATGGTGAAACGAGATTAGTGAGAAAAATGACCCTTAAAACAAAAGCTGATTTAGCATATTGGCATGATATGGTACTAAATTATCACCTATGCCCATTGCTGCTTGGAAGAATTTAAAATTTAAGAAGAAATGGGCCAGCAGATGGTGCAGAGGTTAAGGCAGTTGGATCCCACATAGCTGACTTTCCTGTTCAAGTCCTAGACCTGGCGGTTTGAAAAACATGCTAGGTGCATGTGTGTGCGTACCCAAAATCCTAAGAGAAAACTGGAGGAGAAGGGATTGTGGCATGGCCATCCTTACTGGGGAGGGATTTCTTAC